ATTTATTGAGCATTTATTTTTCTTCAGTGTATCTGGTCCACTGATACAGCAGTGAACAAAAGAAAGACCACCTACTCAATAGTAAGGAAAGATAAATAATAGCTAAATTAAAAATATATTTAAGTGCCATGACAAAAATAAGTCAAGGTAATAGAAATTGTTAGCTATGGGAAGAGAGACATTTTAAATAAGGATATCAAGGAAAATTCCTATGATTACACCATATTTGAGCAAACACATGAAAATGTTATAAATTGGTGAGCCTGAAGGACACAGTACTATTGACAGAGGGAGCAGATGTCCAAAGGTCCTGAGGTAGAAACATGCCTGCCAAGCTCAAGGAGAAGAGAAGTAGATTGGAAACAGAGATAGTAGGAGGCAAGGATGCTATAGCCCATGAATAGTATGGACTCAAGTGATGTGAGTTTTGAGCAAGCAAAGGGGTGACATTAATTTAAAAAATGATATAGCTGGGTGTTGTATAGGAATAGAACCCTCAGAATACAGGGTGGAAGCCAGGAGATTGTTCAAGAAAAGATCACAGTGGTCTGACCAAAAGATGGTGGTAACTACTTTTCCTTGATCTTAACTGTTTTCTCTACTGGCACATAATAAGTTTGGTATTTTGACATTTTGTGGTAAGTGTGCAGATGACCCAACTTTTCTGTATGTAATTCTGTGATATAAATGGAACAGTAAGTGGGGTTCTAATTTGGGGGTTCATTTTTGTTGATACCACCCATGTCTCATGCTATACTTTTGAATGCCTTGAGCATTGACGGTTTTCAATTACATTTCTTAGTTTTAAAAAATCCAAGTATAGAGTGCCTTAAAACTTGCTCATTGTATGAATCTCTGTGCATTGTTTCTTTTATATATTAAATAAAATGACCTAATTCTGGCCTCATCTGAAATGCTTTTGCAGATATTGGTATATATGAAGTATAATTGAAAATATGCTGTTTAGATTTTTAAAAATCATTTAAAGAAACATTGCCACCGATTCCCTCAACACACTTCCCCTCACTTCAAACACATTACTCTCCTTGTTCTTGCCAGTTTCTTAAACAATTCTGAAAGTCCCTTTTCATGAGTGCTTTTAGCTGTGCTGCCTTGATTGCCCTGAACTGATTCCAAATGATGACTTCTCAGCACTTTCCATTTTGAGTTTGGGGAAAGACCAGAAGTCACACTGTGCCAGATTCAGGGATTAAGGTGGATGAGAACCCACGACTGTTTCTACAATGTGCCTGCCTTTCCCTTGGACGGTACTGGGCAGCAATTTTTGACCACACTTTGTAAAGACACTCACAAAAGAGGACATCCACAGCCGCTTTGGAGAGAGCCAGGATTGGTGAGATAAGTGTGTTTGAAACAATGAAGAGTATTACTAGGGAAATGAATAGCAATGTGTCTTTTGCTGTAATAATTGTTTTTAAATGTAAACATTCATTGCATTTTGCGATCACCCTGTGTATATTCAGTTTGATTTATATACTAGTCTACAGTCTTACAGATATGGTCAATAGCAACATTTATCTTCTGTGTTTTTAACAAATGATACTTTCAGATTGTAACATTGCTTCCTCTTTGTTGCTGTAATTACTTCAGAAAATGTGTACTTGTGTTAGGAATAGCAGTGAACTCATCCATTTTTGGTAGTAGGTTAATTATGGGATAGCAGTGAAATATTTTATGTGATGGAAAATCTTAAAATTTTTTTAGATTGACTTGTAATGAACAGTTCATTGCCTAACTTAGTTATAATTTATTAATATGTTCTAGTATCTTAAAGAATTTCTAAGAGAGCAATGATAGTAACACTGTAACTCTTGTAGCAAAATTTTGCATTGTATGAATACTTTTGTTAATAAATTCAATATAAAATAAGAAATAAGATCTACACTTGAGAAAAATCCCTCTGTTATATAATCCTTATAAATTTAGCTGATTATTGGCCCAAAACACGAGTGTTCTTAGTTTGGTTTTAACTATTATTCTCTGATTTGATGTATGGAATATGGGGAAAGGGAAGTATTATGGATTGGAGCTGACAGACTTCTGTCTACCACAGAGAGGGACCAGGGTCCATTGTTCTATCAGCTCGCCTCTCTGAAATGACAAAGCCAGGTCTCTCAAGGCAGGCCTGGGCTATAGCCCCTTAGCTGTGACCCCTTCAGTGATCTGACCACATTGGCTAGTTTTGAAAAAATACCTTGAAATTTACAGGCTGTTTGCTGATGATAGTATGAGGTTAATGACCTCTCTCCTATTTAGGATTGTCTTTGTGCTATCATTCATGAAAAGCATAGAAAGTGATTTTTCACTGATCAAAGATCACTTCAGCTGGATGAATTTCTGTCAATCACCTGGTAGATCCAAATTTATGTATTTAAGGGCACTTACTACTAAATTAATGGAAGAGAATGGTAAAAATAAAACTAGTGGAGTATGAATATTTTAAAGCACAAAAATAGCCAGAATGTGGTGGTGCATGCCTATAATCCCAGCACATAGGAGGCTCAGATGGGAGGATTGCTGTGAGTTTGAAGCCAGCCTAGTCTACATAGTGAGTTCAAGGCCAGCCTGGACTGCATAGTGAGGTCCTGTCCCCCCACAAAAAAACACAAAAATAATACATTTTTATGGGTCTAAAGTATAGCATCCATAAGATACAGCTGGTGTTATGTTTTATATTTCTTTTTTCCCTTCTCTATATAAAACTAACATTGTGGGAAATTTGAAAAATTGCACTAATTTTAATAAAAATAAGCTCCCTTCATTCTTTCCCTACTGTCACAGTTAATTTGGGCAATGCCAGTCTGTTAGTGTTAGACTTGCTATTCAACTAAAAATGTATTATGATCTGCGGCACACATAAAAATTACATTATAATGAGCAAAACTGAGCTAAACATAATTGTGCCTATACCAGTACTGTGACAGGAAGTGCCTTCTATATTAGTGATGATTTCCATGCCAATGATAATTTTATTGTCTGATTTGCATTGTGTTCTCCTTACTGCCATATTGATACCCAGAATATGTCCATCCATTCCTAGGAGATGCAGTTGCCCCCCCCAAATATAGTTAACTCTCTTTCCTACTCCTTGAAAAGTCTTTAAGTAATTACAACATAAAAATGGTGATAGCAGCCAAATTCCACGCCTTTAAAGCTGCACTTTTTCATTTAAGCTAAATTCCTTTCTGGGTACATGTACTTGTTGTAGGAGTCTTCTGAACACATCTCGGTGGCTTCAACATTTAAAGCAAAAGTATTTAGACATCTTTTAGGCAGTGCCTGCCGGGTGATCAGGGCACACTGGCATTGCTGAATGGTCCTCTCTGGGATGAATGGGCATTACAGCTTCTCCTAAGTGCAAATGGCAGAGGGAGGTTGAGGCCCATTCATTCCTCCAGGTGTGTCCGTGTGCATGCCGTGCCCTTCACCCTTAAAACACTTCACAGTGTAGACTTCCTGGGTAAAGGGGCACAACAACAAACACAGAATTTACAAAACCCATTCAATCCGTAAGGATTTCACCTGGTTTCTCTGGTCCTTTTCTTTTTGATATTAACAAAGCGCTATTTGTTTCTTAAAGAATTTGCTATGTTCAGACATTGTGCAAGTCACTGAAGGATTTAAAATGGGCTAAATCCCTTTAAAACCCAATTTTCTGAGGAGCTGTCAGAATAAAAATTTGGGTATTAACAATGAAAAACACTAGAAATCACATTAGGGAAAATGTGTCTTACAGTGGCATATGGCTTATAGCAAGAACAAAAATTATATTGATTTTTTGAACCAAAAACTGCTGCAAGAGATTATTACAAATGTATAGGTTTTTAAATCAAAACAACTACGTATTCTTACCATATTTTCAATGCTTATAGTCTGAAAAAGCATCTAAGATTGTGAATTCCCTTTTATCAGAATTTATGCAAACACCAACTACCATGGATTCAACTCGGGCAGTTACAAGTGATTGTTGATTTACAACCCAGCTGGCTCTTGGATACTGGCTGCAAGTCAGGCCTCTCTAAATCAGGAATTGCCTGACTCAGAACTCACAGCTTTTCCCTGCTCTTCAGTTACCCAAAGAAAAATGAGTTCCTCTCACTTCTTATCCATACTTGTTATTTTCTTCTTCCCCCTTCTTTTCTTTCTTTCTCTTGAGATACAGATTTTGTTGTATGGTCCAGTCTGGGCTCAAACTTTCAATACTCCCACCTTTACCTCCAGGGCAGCCATGATTACAAGTGTGTGCTGCCCTGCCCGGCTTCCATGGCTGTTCTTAAGAGTGAAAGTCTTTTGCTATAGTTCGGCTAGTTTTAGACATACATGGATTCCCTCATCTAATTGCATTAATACAGTGGAAAGTTTTTCAACTTGAAAAGTCTCTCTCATCTTATTTCAATACTAATACCCTTGACCATCTTGGATGTATACTGTTTAGAGGGTTGTAAAGGTCAATTATGGTTTTAGAACAGGGAATTAGATGATTTATTTACAATAAAAAGATGGGAAGGAGGAGAAGGCCATCATACATTGGGCGTTTATTTTTAGGTAAAGTTTCAATGACATCAGCTGAGAATCATTAGAAGAAGACTCTCCTGAGCTGGGGAAGAAAGAAAAAAAAAAGGTGAACATAAAAGAGTATGAGTGGGTTAGAGGATTTGATGGTAAATATTTTAGAAAAAATGTAAAGGCAAGATCTGCTGCATTGATAGTCTGTTCCTTTGAGGGACAGTTTTTCTCCAGATTTTTCGTTGCTCTGTTACTGGGCACTTAGACACATCTCATCGTTCATGTCCCAGGTAGCTTGGATTTTCTTGTATTTGTGGACTGAGCAGGTGACTAGGTGAAACTACTCAGGTTACATCTGTATTAAATATTTATGATGGTATTTTAAGCACCTCAGTATATATTCTAACAAGCTTCGAGTGCTGCAAGGGAAAGAGAAAGGAAGACAGCGTTAAACATTGAATTTCTCTTTCCAGGAGGCATTTGAGAAGGTGAGCTTGAGTAGCAGCAGCAGTGGAGCAGCCAGCCTGAAAAGCGAGCTTTCAGAAAGCGCAGAGCTGGCCCCGGAAAGCTTCCAGGCTCCCTGCGGGAAGGATGAAGACAGAGCCTGCGATGAAATACTGTCCGAGGACAACTTCAACCTGGAGACTGTCGAGAAAGGTACTTCTGGTGAAAGGGTGTCCTGCCAGCATGAATGCACCCCTGACTCTGTTTCAAGGTTCATTTGCTTTTTTATTTTTATTGATGAACAGATACATATTCAGAGCTAGATGATGAATTGGACATTTCGGATAACTCCAGCAGCTTGAGCTCAAGTCCTTTGAAAGACTCTACATTCAGTAAGCTTTCTTTCCAAGTCTACCACTTGTGGGAGTCTAGTAGTTGGTGGTTTGGAATCATATCATAGGCCCGTCCTGGAGTTGGCTGGGTTTTCAAGTGCGGTGCTGGTTGGGACACATCTGTCTGTGTCTCCTCCAGAGACCAGAGGCCAGCCGACATGGTGACTTTACATTCCCTCAGGTGTCAGGGGATAGTTTTATTATTCCTACCAGCAAGTGATGCTCTTCTTGGGAAATGGAGGTAACTGATTTGGAGACAGGTAAATAGCCAACAATGATAGAAATGGCCCTTTATGAGTCTTTTAGCTAGAGGAACTTAAAATGCATGGAAGAAACTCGCCTTGGGATAGACAACTTTTGTGCAATTTTATTTATATTAATATAGAGGAATACATTTAAAAACAATAAAGTAGGGGCCAGGGATATAGCTCAGTGATGTTGCCACCTGCCTTGCAACAGCAAAGTCCTAAATTCAATCCCCAGAGCCACACACACACACACACACACACACACAGGAAGGAGGAGAAGAAGAAGAGGAAGGGGAAGAGGAATCACAGTTATCCTTTGGGCCTGAGATTTAGCTCCAGTGATGCTGTTGCCTGCTTTGAAAGGACAAGGTCCTGAGTTTGATCTCTGGTACCAAAAGAAAAAAAGAAAAAGAAAATAGAAGAAATATCTGAAGATTATACAACTATGAAAAATATAATATATAAATCACTTTAGTGTTAGTCTTAATTTGATACAGGAATAAAGTAGTTACATGAATAATAGGGAAGAAAGGGAAAAGATACTTTTAGATAGAATTTAAAGATCATAAGGAAGGATAGGATTGGATATACTCAACAAGCCTGAAACTGAAAGGTGTTCAAATAGAAAATAGGGGAGAAGTAATTATTTAGAAGAAAATAGAATATAAAACTTATAGATAGAAATACTCTAAAATAAATTAAGTATAAATTCTCTTTCTCAGTGACTAGACTGTAGAAAATATCTCAAAAGAGGAGATTTAGTCTATGGGTCAAAATAGAACCCTAAGGAGTGAGCTACATTCTTTGTCCTTTAGAAGCTTATTTGGTCCATCAAAATGATGACTAGGTCTTCCAAATTTTCTGGGATAATCACAATTTCCAATTCCCTGTCCTAGTTTCTCTGTAACTTTCTGACTGCTTGATTTGCAAGCGGGAAAATATAATATAATACAGAAACAACTTTTCTTGCATACAGACATGTTTAACAGATTCCAGGAGTGGTCATTACTGTTTTGTGATGAGTTAAAGGTTGTTTATCCCGCCTAACAGTGGTGGAGAGGAGTAGGAGGAAAGTGGGAAGGAGAAATGAGACCCTAAAATTTACATGTAGTAACTTGTAGCTGTCTTTGGAAAGGTTTTAAGGAGACTGTTTTGTTAATTACTAATAACAATTTATTTTTGTTTGCTTAGCATCTTTTCTTTGGAATATAGGCCTTAAACAAGCCTGTCAAGTAAATAGTAATTTGTAACATTATATTTTAGCTCAGGCTTTCATGAGCAAAGATGATCTTTATAGTATGTACAGTTGCTCAGATAGCAGAAGTGCAGCATTTAAAAAAAAGAGTTGTGGAGAAAATAATGTAGTTATTTTTATATTCCTGTTGCAGGCATTTTAAAGAGAAGTTTTAGTGCTTCGGGAGGAGAAAGGCAGTCCCAAGTAAGGTATGTACAAGTTGATCTCTTAGAAGTATTTTTAGACTTTGCAAAGCCAAGTAGTTGGTGGCTGAATAGACTTCCAGAAGTCACCACGGGCATATGGAAATAGAAGCTGTGAAGACCTACTCACCCAGAACCTACCAGTTTACCAAGTAGCATGCTGGAGAGAATGCCAAGCTTGGACCTGGGTTGTAGTCTAACTCTGCCTTTATTTAGTGGCTATGAGCCAGTGGGTCTTTCTAAGCTGAACAGGGGTCAACAGTGTAGGACAGTTGTGTGCTGTGACATCTTCTGGAGCCCTGATTTATTCCTTTATATCTGCAGGGAATATGACTAATCCTCCTGGCAAATGTGGCCAAGAAAAGGAAAGGGGAATTGAAGATACATCCCTTTCCATTTAAGGCTGTGACCAGATATTGTTCCCGTGACTTCTGCTCTTATACATTTAGCTAGAAGTTCCTCACACTGATCACATCTAGCAGCAACGATTGATGGAATTTATTTGGGTTATTCCTTCTTTAACAGCAAGGAGAAATTACTGTGGAACAACTAGTCCTGTCAATTACAGCTGTCTTTTGGAATAAGGATGGAAACAAAACTATTAGACTTGGGCTTCCCAAGTTCCTGATAACCTAGATGAGACTGTTTATGATAACGGTTTCAGTAGCACTGGGGAAAATGGAAGGCTTGATTGTGACCTTTGTGAAGGTCCTGGAGGTGGGGAGCTGGGGCAGTTTAAGAAAGTGAAGAGTACCTAAAAGAGTTAGTTTATAGGTGACATTTAATGGAAAAAGCTTTTAGTATCAAGATGACTTTAGGATATTTGAGACCGATGAAGAGGCAATAGAGAAGAGATTACAGAAGGAAAGAGATAGTCACACATGTACAATCACACAGCAGTTTGGAGCTGGAGAATCAGGCCTGGAAGAATGGAGAAGTGGAAAGGAGGTATCTAAATTTTTCTGTGTCTGGAGAAAGAGAGCTGAAGATACGATGAAGCTAGAGAAATAGTGAAGGGCTGTGTGTTTATTAGATGATGTTCTGAGCTACTGCTGAGAGGACTTACTTGGGTATCAGGAGTCTGGTGAGCTAGGATCCACCACTTTAGAAATAGGAAAGGAACTGAACAGATACAGAGATTGCCAGAGGCTGGGCCACCAGTTGAGGCTGAAACCATGCAGAAATGTTGATGTTGGGCAGTGGGAATTGTAAAAGCAAATCATGACACATGGCCATACTCCCTAGCTAAATAATTTTATACTAAAATAGATATTTCCAAACAGATAATTTAGGAATCTTGGAAGTACCAAATAATATTTTTTCCCTGAAAGGATTCACAGAAAATTGTTTTATTTGAAGGAATTCAGTTGATGCTTTAACTCTTCAATATCAGAAAGAACATATATACTGTTTATTTTAGATCTTGAGATAGTTTTTTAAAAACCCAGTCGTTGTTCAACATTTTTCAACGACTGGGTGAACTAGAATCTGTAGATTGGGAAAAGTTAGTCTGAAGCAGACATATTGCAGAATGAGTGTTACCTTGCGTTTCTGAATGTATTAGCAGATGGAAAAGGGCCTGACACTGAGGCTGACACTTTGGAAAGTGTGTTGTAAGGTGAATAAGACCTGACCTAGAGCAACATTTGAATAAGGGTACATGCAGTGTGACATAAGGAAAATCTCATTGGTTTAAACCAAGCTCTTTTTCCCTCAAGGAACTGACAACAGTACAATGCAAGATAAAGATAAACTTTAGGAGAAAAAAATGATACAAGGCAGTCTATGCCTCATGCTTAGTAAGAGAGAAAACACTGATAACCTTTTTATACTTCCAGGTGCTCTCTGAACTTTCTTTGAAGTAAAAAGAGACAACTCTAAAATGTATTTCTCTCTGTCTCTCTCTTTTTTTTTTTTTTTTTTTTTTTTTATCTCTCTCTTTCTCTCTTTTTTTTTTTTTTTTTTTTGGTACCAGGGATTGAACTCGGGACCTTGTGCTTGCGAAGCAGGCAGTGGAACCACTGAACTACATCCCCTGCCCTCTAATTCCTAATGAAGCATTAAGTCATTTTCAATCTAATTTGTTTAGGATTTTCTTGGGTTTCTTGGTTTATTGTTTTGAAATGTGAACTCATCCTACAAACATTTAGAAGATAAATGCTAAATGAATATAAAAGAAAATAGCAAAGCTATATATGAAAATAAATTGAAAATCAAGCTTGTAGCATTTTTGGCTATTCTGTGCCACGTCTGAAGTCATGTGACAATTACAGTGAAATCCTGGGTGGCTCTTTCAAAAGGAGTTGGTCCCAATGAGCAGATGCACAGGGAAATACAGGGAAATGAACTGAGGGCAGCTTCTAGACTCTAGAATTCAGATTTGACTCTGGCTAAATAGTGCAGAGGGAAAGCTTAGGCATAAATTCTTAGCTTTGTTCGCCTTAGATGTCAGGAGCCATACTTATAACCAACTAATTGCTTGTTAAAAAAACTGAAGTATCTCCTTAATAACTTGGGATAGGCTTTCTTAGGCAAATGAACTAGGAGAATGAGTAAAACACAAGCAAATGAAGCTAGAAGAACAGCTATCAGTCTCCTCAAGAAGTACTGCAGTTTGAAGGCTAGAGAAAGCAAATATGGTATTAGAACTAGAAGGACCTCAGTGATCAAAGCAATCATCAGACGAAACATTTTTTTTCAGGAATATGTTTTTTTTCTTTTATTGAGCTTATTGGTACATTTTAGGTATACAGTAAGTTACATTCATTATTGGGATCTTATACCTTTACATGACAGGTGGTCTTGGTTCTCATTTTTACACCTTGTCCCTGCCCTCCCTTCACCCCTCCTCCCGTCCCCATTTGCAAACACTTTATTTCCATTTTTCCATTTTCTCATATTTTTTCCCTTACTACCTTTCCCCTACCCTTCCCACTTTCCCTACACCTTTAGCCCTTTTCTTTCCAGGAATATGATTAATAGCAAGACCAAAAGAGGAACAGTTCCTTTGAAATCTTTAACTTTAGACATTTTCAAATTTGATCTAAACTAAAATCTCATGCCTGCATTACTGTTTGCCAGAAAAAAATTAAGAATGGACTTGACAAAAACCAGACATGGCGGTGCAGGCCTGTAATCCCAGCACTTTGAGAGACTGAGTCAGGAAGATTGCCATTAGTTCATAGCCAGCCTGGGTTACATAATGAGTTCAAGGCCAACTTGAAAGATATAGTGAGACCCTGTCTCAAAAAAAACAAAAGAATGAACTTGAATTTTTAAACATTTTTAATTTTTTACTACATGTTTGCAGTATAGAACAATTTATTCATTGTGGTGAGTTGGTGTATGTACACAACACATCTTAATTCTTGTTTGTATCACCTTCCTCTTCTGTTCCCCTTACCTCCCGTCTCTTGGTCATCCCTTCCCATTTGCAAAAGATCAATCTTCATCTTTTCTATTACTCACCTGTAATTTATTTATATTTTGGGGTTCTCATATGAGAGAATGCAATATTTAAGCTTGTGTTTCTGATTCGCTTCACTTAACATTGTGGTGTCCAGTTGTATCCATTACCCTTCAAGTGACTGAAGTTTATCTTTCTTTGAGGCAGGGTGGTACTCCACTGTGTATAAATGCCATATTCTTTTTGTCCATTTATCTGTTGGTGGATATAGAGGCTGTTTCCAGAATTAAGCTATTGTGAGTTGTGCTGCTATAAATATACGTATGCAGGTATCACTTTAATATGTTTTTAACTCTTTGGGGAAGATACCTACAAGGGGAATAGGTAGGTCAAATGGAATTTCTAGTTTTAGATTTTTGAAAAATCTCCATACTGATTTCCACAGCGGTTGTAGTAGTTTACATTCCCATCAACAATGTAGAAAAGTTGTTTTGTTTTTTCCCCTCCATAGCATTGCCAGCATTTGTTATTATTCGACTCCTTGATGATGACCATTCTTTGTCACATAAATTAGCATCTCAGTATTGTTTGATCTTTGATGACTCTAATGGCCAGTGATGTTGAGCATTTTTTCATGTATTTACTTGCCATTTCTGCTTCATCTTCTAAGAAGTGTCTATTCACTTAAGTTGCCCATTGTTTTGATTGTGTCTCTGACTTTTGGAGATTTAGTTTTTTGAGTTATTTACATATTCCAGCTATTAGTCCTCTGTTTGACTTGCTGCAAGATAAAATAGGTACCATTCTTGAAATCATAGATGTAGGCTAGGACTTTCTGAACAGAACCTCAGCTGTATAAGAAATAACACCAAGAATCAATAAATGGAATCATGTCAAATAATCTTTTGGACAAAAAAGAAACCACCAACAAAGTGAAGAGACAGCCCATAGAAGGGGGGAAAGCCTTGCCAGCTGCAGTTCAGTTTTATCAGTTTTTATTATGTGGTCTGTATAGGCTGATATATATGTTTCTAATCCAGTAAGTCACAACATTTATGTCAATTAAAATTATCCTTCATAGTAGAATTTGATGAGGCAAACAGGAGCTTCAGCCTAGAACTATTACAATCAGGTCCTAGTGGACTGGTTATTGTGTAATGGCCTTCTTAATATGCATTTGAACTCGGTGCAGTGGTGCATGCTGTAGTCTCAATTACTTGAGAGACCGATGCAAGAGAATCCCTTGCATGCATGAGTTCAACACCAGCTTAGGTAGCATAGCAAGACCCTGTCTCAAAACAATAAAAAGGAATATGCATTCATTTATTCAAGTAGTAGATATTTAATTTTGTGTACCAGGTATGTACCATACTATATCTTTTTATCTTAGTATTTTCTACGCACAGTGTACTGCATATATGTGCCACCAATCCACAAATACTTGTTAATTAATCAATGAAAGACTGTTTTTTTAATACACATTCCTTGTAAAGGACTGAAATCTTACCTACTGTCTGAAATCTATAGCTTTTACCATAGCCACAGCACAAGACCCATTCTTTTCCCTCTCCCTCTCTCTACCCTCCTCTTTTTAAGATTCTGTTGCTCAGGCAACAAGATTTCTCCATGCCTGCTTGCCTCCTGTTGCCAAGGCAACAGGGTATAGTTGGCAGGCTAGTTTGAGACATCGGATGTTTGTGGTATCAGAGATGCCTGTGGTTCACAACTTCTTTGATAAATTAGTATATGCATAATTTTATTTAAGAGTGTGCTCCTGACTTCAGTCATTGTATATAGAGATGATTGTGGATGTTTGTCATAAATGTGACCAGGATGATGCCAGGTTAGGACCTGTGACACTTCCTTTTAGCAGATGCCTTGCTTATTTTCACTTGTGGCTATTCTCTCTCAACCTCTTTCTTTTTTTTTTTGGTACCGGGGATTGAACTTGGGTCCTTGTGCTTGCGAGGCAGGCGCCGGACCACTGAGCCAAATCCCCGGCCCGGGTCTGGCTGCTGCCTTGCCAACACCTATTTTATTTTATTATATTTTATTTATTTTTTATTTTTTGGTATCGGGGATTGAACTCAGGTCCTTGCGCTTGCGAGGCAGGCAGCAGAACCACTGAGCTAAATCCCTGGCTCCTCAACCTGTTTTTCATAATCTGTATCTAGTTTTACTTCCACTGAATAACTACTGCTTGGTCACTACTTGGTCACCTATCTTGTGTTGCAATCCAACAATCTTATTGGCAAGACAAAACAGCCACAACCAAACCAAATGCAGGATTGTCTCTTCCTGTGACAGTTCTAAACTTTCGTGCTTCATGCTTGTTTCTAGCTGTCATTGAAGGGCGAGTGGAATGCCACAGGAGCATCATCCCCCTTGTCATCATACCAACTCTACTAACGTGGATAAATACAGGCCTCTATTGAATATGAGAACTCAACCCTACATAATGCCACTTTTGAATGTCACTGCCTGAAAGAGACTTTCAGATGTAAAATTCAACTTAGCTCTTATGGCGTGACTATAGGAGCCTGAAAATATATTTTCTTAATATTGTGAGCCGACCTTCACATAGTATAAGGTTAAATATTTCTTTTTCTTGTCAACATTAAGTAATATTGGCTGCTTTTCATGATTGAATTAATGTGATATACTCATAATGTATGAGAGAATATTTTCTTCATTGAGAGATAAATTTAAAGGCATCCTTATGAGAGACAAAATTCTAGAGTTTTATTTCCTAACTTCATTCTTTATATAGAGAAATGATTGTGGATGTTTGTGACCGTCCAGTATCACAGCTCTTCTGACAAAACAATTAACTGAATAATTCATGCTGTGCTCAGATTAATTCAGTGAAGAATCTATTTAGAAAGTCACAAAGCCCCTGCCTGCATTTTCTACTTTAACATAATCGTCTGAGGTGAAAGTTGCAGACTTAACACTTATTTTCAGCCTGTCTGCTTTTTGTTTTTTGACTTATGCATTCTTGTGCGTTATGCATGCAGTCACACCTGATCTAAAGAAAAACTGAATGTGAATCTGCTCCCCACTAAATTTCTTTGAATTTCTTTCATCAGCCTGAAGTGCTATCGGTCATCCCCCACTTTACAGCTTTTAGGACACAAGTCTTCAATATGTTAACCTTTACACCTGAAAACGTGTCTGGAATGTTCTTTTTCTATTAAATCATTTTTATGTTTTCCAGAGTTAGCTGCTATGAGAATAACAGCCTCCGTTAGCCATTTCTGTTCCTTTGGACGTAAGCTTTCAAGGTGGTTTTTTTTTTGTATTTTGTTTTGTTTTGTTTTTGGTTTTGGGGGGTTTTTTTGTACCGGGATCGAACTCAAGTCCTTGTGCTTGTGAGGCAGTCGCCAGAACCACTGAGCTAAATTTCCAGCTCAAGGTGGTTTAATCTAGACCTCCTGCAACCTCTGCATACTCTCAGTCATCTGTCTACCTATGGGGCCAGCAATTGCACATTAAAATCTGTCCCTTCTAGTCACAACGGATCTTTTATTTTGAGGTTTTAGAAGCCTAACCAATTTCCATTGAATGCATCAATTTTTCCACTACACAACCTTGTGGGTTCCGAAAGTGTAGAGGCCTTCTGTTCACGATCCCATCTGTAATGCCTAGCGTAGTGTCTGCACATAGTGGGAACCTCATAAATATTTATTGAATGAACAAATGGGTGAATGTGTGATTTTTTAAAAATTCCCTAAAATTTCTTAACGGACTTATTTAGAATTATAGAAAGGAGTAGCGAGACTGGACATCTCAGCACTGTTGGAGTGACGTACTTCCCCTATGTCACTCATATACACTATGTATTGTATCTTTGTATGTAAAAATGTTGGAAATACCTTCTTCAAGGTAACAAGCATAGTCATCTAGATAACTCAGCATGGAAGTGGTTATCAGCTTTGCAAAAAATCCACAAATGTGGATTTAAAGCTTTTCACAAGTTTCATTCTTATTCATCTTTCATGGTAGTGAGGTTCTTCAGGTACCACTAGGACCAAGGACAGTGACCAACAGCGACCTTAGAAGTGTCTAGGATGTCAAGGACTGTGCTGCTAGGCACGTGTGGCTGACACATGGCGAGTACAACTGAGGAAATTATTTCTAGTTTCATTTAATGTTTAAGTGTGAAATATGTTAAAATGATAGTATTTCGAGTATGTTTGATTAAAGAAAAAAAAGAATTTCACTTTTTCTTTTGTAAAAATGTGGATACCAGAAATTTTAAATTTATGTTTATAGCTTCTATTATATTTTTATTAGATGGTGCTAGATTCATCCACAAGGCTAAGAGATGAAGTTATCCAGAGAGCATTTCCCGGGGCAGGTTGTGGGAAGTAGATGTTCAGCCCTCCAGGACGGCTCTGAGGCTGTCTGCATCCACACAGCACTGCTGGAAACATGCCCATTTCGAGGGCAGGCCTATCCCTTTCTTCTTTAAGTCCTATCCCGGAGCTAGGGAGAATGTATTAACTCACTAAAATTCTCAAATTTCATTTACAATGTAAGGTTCTGGAAACTTGGCCTGGGGCTGGAACAGAAAAAAATTTTGGATCAAGAGAGTTCTGGCTTGGTAAGGGACAGAGGGTATGGAAAAGGATGGGGAAGGCCCTGGTAGGTAGAAACAAAAAAATTGGCATTATTCTAGTGCTTATGTTGAATGGTAGGTGAATGAATGCCAATTTTGTCATATTTAAAAGCTTAGATATGGGTTGTATGTGAGTATTAAAAATTCTGTGGTTAAGCTGGGCATGGTGGCACACACCTGTAATCCCAGCACTCGGAGGCTGAGGCAGGAGGATTGCTGTGAGTTTGAGACCAGCCTGAGCTACATAGTGAATTCCAGGTCAGTCTCAACTACATAGTGAGACCCTGTCTCAACAAAACAAAACAAAACAAAACAAAAAAATCTATGATTAAAATGAAAGGTTGGGGCAAGAGAATTATCAGCCATGTTTATTTGTATTTGAGTGCCAATCATGTGCTTTGTAATAATTGAATTTATAATGGTTAGAATGTATTACATTGAAATAAGTTTCTTATAACTTATTGCAGCACAAGTATTTTGTATTTCATTATTGGCTTCAGTAGGAAAAGCAACTGAATGTTATTTTATCTGTATGTCTGTTGAGATTTAAGGCCACCTCCACAGGGTAGAAGGTTCTAAGATCAACTTTGAAATGGGCATGCAGGCCGGGGATTTGGCTCACTGCTTCTGCCACCTGCCTCACAAGTGAAAAGTCCCCAGTTTGATCCCTGTACCAAAGGAAAAGAAAAAAAGAGAAAAGAAACATACCTCATTGGCCGAGTTCCACCTGCAGGAGTCTGTCTGGGGCTGGGAATTTGGCTCAGTGGTTCCATGGCCTGCCTCTCAAGTGCAAGGTCCTGAGTTCAATTCCCGGTACCAAAAAACAAAAACAAAAATAAAATGGGCACACAATCTAGAATGTTGGGGTAAGGCAAACAAGGGATGTTAATGGTAATGAAAACTAAGTAAAATATGACATTTCAAATGCAAAATTTATCCAACTTCATAGGAATAGTTATGAGTTTCTTTCTTTGAAGACAGCAGAAGAAATCATGAAAAATGCCATATATAATTTAAATGTTATTTCTTTTTAGTACAATATCAGTATTTTGATTTTTAAGTATAGCAAGACAATCATTCAAACAGAAGAATTAGTCCTTAATGATACTTTGATCTTATAAACAACCTCAGTGGGAAAAATTCTTCCATTTGTCCGCAGAATGTCCATTCCCATGTTGGGATAGGAAATGTTTGTGTTTATTCCTCTCTCTATTAGACTCTTGAGAACATGTTAAGGCAAAATAGCCTTTATTTATATGTATAATACAAATCCCAGCAGAGTGTAGCTTTTAGTAAATGTTTGTCAAAGCCAAGTCAAGAGTCATTCTAATAGCCTCCAATTCTGTTTTCAGGGAGTTCATTGGTGGAATAGGATCAAGACCAAGACCAGGTAATTTAGTGTTAAATTCACCATAAAATCAAACAACATACCTTCCTGAAATTTGGTATCATTTATGTTACGGTTTCATACCTTTCCCCTTTTATTTCTTCAGCTTTGCTGCCTCTTGACCTGCTTCTGAAAGTGCCACCCTTCATGGTCAGGTCCCACGTTAAGGATCTAGAGGCCGAGTTAGTGCCAGGTTGGGAGTCCCATACCTTCCTACTGTGATTCTTCACAATCTCAAAGATCATGGTAGTACTTACCAGCTCACATTGATGTTAATAAGCCCAGTGGGTGAGCACAGAATTACAGTTGGGCCGTAACTGTCTGAATGATGTTTAGGAGCTCTTTTAATACAAGTAGCCAGAAAATTCTGTTTGGTCCATCCAGTACAATTGCAATTTGATTTCATTTCTTGATTAAAAGATTATAGCGTTTTTCTGTGTTCACTTATTGATTAAAATATTATATAGAGGTGTTTTTCCAAAATTTTCATTTCTTCCTTTATGGGAATTAACCAGTTAAGCTATTGATGTTTAAAGTATGTGCCTACAAACAAAAATAGTAACTGTAATTTATGTGGGTATTTCTATAAATCCTATACTTATGAGATACAAGAGAGTGAATTATTTTTTTTCTATCTTCTTTACTCTGATATAGAAAATTCTTGTTTTAGTTATTTTTATTTGTATTTGATTAAAATGATATGACACTGTTTCTTTAAATTATAGATCTTTAAATATAAAAGTTTATAATGATGGTGTGTGATGAAAAGGATGTATTAATTTTTCTAATTTCTATGAAAGAGGATGAAAGTACAACAGTAACAGCAACTGAGCCCGGATAATTCAGGAGAAAGTTTAACAGTTGCTATTTAAACATATGAACAAGTATAGGACTCAAGCTTAAAATTCTATTTTATTTTTATTTTTATTTTTCCCCCCCTAGGGATTGAACTCGGGTCCTTGCACTTGCGAGGCAGGCGCCAGAACCACTGAGCTAAATCCCGGCCCTAAAATTCCATTTTACTGTTCTTCAATTTAAAATTATTATTTAGTGCTGTTTTCACTTCAGCTTCCTCAATTTACGTTCCTTGTACAGTTAACATGTACAGTGAATGTTTTCCAAATAAATGCATATGGTATAATATTAGAGCAGGTCTCTACATTTATTACATTTTCTTTGAGAGAATTATTGGCAGTTTTAGGCCCTCCATATGTCAGCATAGATACAAAACAAGATGGCTTTATTACCAAGATGCCCAATACTGTCATGATGGCCATGGCTCTGTTCCTGTGATTTTGACAAAGGTAAGTTAGTAACATAATCATGAATTTAGAATGATTGATATTGATTGATTTTTATAAGAGCAGGGCAGAACACACACGCACACACACCCCTACACAAACAGAATTGTTTTTCCTAAAGGGCAGATTGCATTTGTCCAATATAAGTTTTGATTTTTATGTTGGTGATTAACATAATATTAACAGGTTTACTTTATATATTTGGACCTTTAAACAAATGATTGACATCATAACACAGTTTGTATATAATGTGTTCCTTATTCCTACAGTTTGTTATACCTTCGTTTTTGTTTTTTTTTTTTTTTTTTTTTTTTAAACAGGTTTTAATTCTAGCTATGCAATTCAGGTTGGCCTTAAACTTGCTATATAGTTGAGGCTGGCCTTGAACTCACGACAAGCCTCCTGAGTTCTGGGATTATAGGAATGTGCCACTATGCCTGGAACCTTCCAATTTTTAAAACTTTACACTCATATGTTTTTAAGTTTAATCAGAATTCACTGGAGCATTTGAAGTATGAGTGGAAGCTAAATTTTACCTGTTAAATAATTTTCTACTAATCTTGAAGAGTACAGTAATGTTCATGAGAAAATTCAGGTCACCGCCTATTTTTTCAGTTTAAAAAATTAGGTGTATGAAATTGTTTTTTCTGAATTTTATAAAAGTCATACATTTTGTAGCATTGTGGGAAGGGACTATTTTAAATTACAAATCATTAAAAATTAATAAATAAATAAAATCACAAATCATTGGCATTAGCCCTGTGCACTTAGGTGCTTTCCTCTGCATGCTTTATTCCCCTTACTACCTTGGCATTTCTAGCTTAGGAGTGCCATAAAGACACGCCACTGCTACTGTGTTCCAAGAACAGGGAAGCGAGTGCGGACTAAGGTGTCATGCAATCAGTTCCTTAAGCATTTGTTACCAGAATAGATAAAGCCCTGAAAGGTATAATTACTTTATTTAAAATCACATTATATTAGTATATTTTACTTACTGAACATTTGATTTACCTTTCTTAGATGCAAAGAATCTTGTGGAAACTGTACATAATATCTATTGCTCTGTGTTGCCTAAGTATTCTGGAAAAAATTGGTATGGAGGGGAGAATTTTAGAAAGGTCTGAGTCTACCTCCGAGACTATATCTAAGATATGAATATTGTTTTCCATGTGTTATGGTGGGACAGAGAATAAGGTGTTTGGAAGTATCAGGTGGCTGTTACAACGTGATCTTGCCTATAGGGTATTCTTAAATATGAATGGCTAGTTTCACAATGTGAAAATACAACAGTATTTAATGACCTCTCCAAACTCCTGAGAAATAACCATGAAACTACTTCAAAGCAATGCTATTACAACTCCCCTTGTTGTAATTTATTTTATACACATTCTTTGGATTAAGTATAGATTGCAGTTTCCTGCCAACAGAAGCAAAAACTTAGAAATTCCTATATAGCATGGTTGAAAATGATAACAGTAATTAATATGAAATCAATGAATGAATAAGTATATTAACAGGTTTACCTTATATCTATTTCCTCACCTTTAGTCACTTGTGAATGGACATTGCACAAATGTAGCGATCCAGAGTATCATTTGTACTACTGTTTTTCTAATATTTTCCCTTAAATTTCCTACTTTTTCTCAAGTTATTTATAGGGGAAATTTATATTTTTGCTATAAATGGGAAACTAGTAAGCTATCACTTCCTTTTAATAGATGGCAGTTCTAAAATCTAAGAAAAACCTTAAATTCTAAGTATTTTGTTGACTGCTTAAGTCTTTCGTCTTTGTTATCAAAGAACACTAGCTAATATTTGAGAAATGGTAAAGATACACTTGCAGCATACTGAAAGTTAATCTGAGAGATAATTAGTAGAAAGAAAAGAAAGTTGGAAAAAGAATACATTTTCTGCTATGGTTATTTCATATTCGGTATAGTTACAGAGTAAAATTAGACTATAAAAATGCCTCATGCCTTGGGGAATTTAGGTCTTTAAAAAATCATCAATTCTGTTGTCTACAGAGTCAAAGTAATTAATCAAATAATGATGTTATTAAATATTTTGAGTGGGAAGAATCTAGGGTCTATTATATATAAAAAAATAATAGTTTCTTCTCGAGTCAAGGCATATATTTGTGAAAACTAAATCATACCAATTCTGCATGTGCATTCTTTGTCATATACACAGGATACACTGTAATGTTATAAATGCTACTGGTGCCATTTAAATGTATTTTGGGATGGGGGGTTACACCCAAATTTTAAAGTGCAAATGTAGTGTCAACTAATAATGTCACCTAATTTGACTGGATTAACAGTGACATGTTTGCCTCCCTTGCTCTGATTTTCATTTAGACAGTACCTGACACCCAGGCACTGAACTGATGTATGGGAATTCTTATGCTCTGCATTTTGAATAGAAACTGTCACTTCATGATTTCTGGGCTCTAAATTATATTTTTTTCCTAGATGACTGAGAATCTATTTTTACAAGTGTCTTTTGTTCATAAAGGTCAGACCTAAATAAAGTAGTCAAAGTTTCAGCCACATATTTTAGAGAACTAGTATTCTGGTTGTCTTTATATGGGAAACCCTTAGTAGCTTACTTTCAAATAAGTTGTTGATATCCAGTGCATAAAACAAGATCCCAACAATGAATGTAACTGTACTGTTATACCTAAAATGTACCAAAAAACTCAATGAGGAAAAAAAATATTTTCCATAATTTGCAAAGTGATTTTAAATATATATTTCATTTTATTTTATCATATAGCAACTTTTTAGCATATAAAAATCAGGTCACCAGATTTTAGTCTAAAGTCCTATAATGCTAATGGATACTGTGTGACTCAGCATTTAATTACATACTTTTATGTATTTTTATTGGGATTCAGAGTACATTATTCACATTTCCCAAGTTGAATATCTATATCTTAAGCTAACTTATATAGATACAGATACCTTGATCTAACCCTTAAGTATCTATTTTATGATCGGGTCCTTGAAAATTATTTATTAAGAAAGTGATTCAGGCTGCCACTGTATAAACCTTTGTTTATCCTTGCTATTCTACTGAAATACATGAATAATTAGAAACAAGGATTGTTTTCACATTAGACTTTTAAATACAAGTTGAACATCTTTAATCTGAAAATCTAAAATCTGAAATGTCCCCAAAACCTACATTTTTAAAGTGTTGGCATGTGGAAAATTCACTTCTGATCTCGTGATGAATTGCAGTCAAAGAGCAAGTTCACTAAAAATATTATGTGAAGTTAGCTTCTGGTTATATATGTATAAGGTACAGTTTATATGAAGCATAAATGAATTTTGTGTTTGGACTTGGATCCCATTTTCAAGAGATCTCATGTATATACAAATGTGCCAAAATTTAAGCCAAGTGTAGTGGTGCATGCCTGTAATACCTGCACTTGGAAGGTTGAAGTAGGAGGACTGCCAGGATTTTGGGACCAGAATGAACTGCATAGCAAAACAATTAACACACACACACACACAAATACAAATATGCCAAATATATTTTTTATATTACAGTTCAGTTTAGTATTAGGACTGGGAGGCACAAATTTTCTTTATCAACGATGATTTGGTTTCTCATTTTTTGTGCCAAGGGAGGCACTGAGAAGTATGCACCACGATGAAGGAGGATGCTACCTGAACAAGAAAAATGTTTCAGAATCTTTCTAGTGACATTTTCAGGAGACCCTCAGTCTCACAGAAGTTATTGATGGTTTACATCCAAGCTAAAGTACAAATTGAAGTCACTTTAATGTTAGATGCCAGCTCCCATACCTGTGCCCTGACTAGGAGCAAAGGGTAAAGAAAAGAAAAGTTGAAAGACACACAACTCTATGGTAGGAGTAAAGGGAGGT